AGTCAGGCCATTCGTCTGAGGGTGGTAAGCAGTACTCATCCGGTGTACAATATGGCACTGACGGAGAAGTGCTTGGATTACGTCGGATAGAAATACACGGCCCCGGTCACTGAGGAGCTCGCGAGGAGGGCCGTGACGCAACACAAAGCGATGGAAGATGAAAGATGCGACGTCCTGAGCGGTCGCCGTAGGAAGAGCAGCGGTTTCGGCGTACCGTGTCAGGTGATCTACAGCAACGATAGCCCACCGGTTACCTGCTGTGGTCAATGGCAGTGGTCCATAAAGGTCGATTCCGACGCGATCGAATGGGCGGTCAGGGCACGCAAGCGGCTGTAGTGGAGCTGCTCCTGCATTCGGTGGCTGTTTTCGTCGCTGACACTCGTGGCAGCCGCGAATAAACTGTCGAACAAAAGTAAACATCCCACGCCAGTAGTACCGCTTCCTTAAACGCTCGTAGGTCTTGAAGACACCGGCGTGAGCGCATTGCGGGTCGGAGCGAAATGATGCACAGATTGTAGAGCGCAGCTTTCGGGGAATAACGAGCAGCCACTTCCTGCCGTCTGGTGAGTAATTGCGCCGGTACAAGAGGCCACCTCGAATGGTGAAGTGCGAAGCCTGGCGTCGCATTGCTCGAGTGATGGGAAGTGTCGGTACCCCAGATAAGACGTCCAGAAGCGAAGTTATCCATGGATCGTCGCGCTGTGCAGAGGTCATTGTGTCGATGTCAAGAGCGGACAGCGCGTGTTCCATAGAAGATATAGAGGCAGCCTCAGTCGACAGTGGTGATCGCGAGAGCGCATCAGCATGTTGGCGGCCGGAACGGTACACGACGCGGATGTCATACTCTTGAAGTCGCAGAGCCCAACGAGCAAGGCGACCTGATGGATCCTTCAGCGACGACAACCAACATAAGGCATGATGGTCTGTAACTACAGCAAAGGTGCGGCCATATAAGTATGGGCGAAATTTCACAATTGCCCAAAGTATGGCTAAGCACTCTTTTTCGGTAACACTGTAGTTTACCTCAGCCTTGTTGAGCGTTCTGCTGGCGTAGGCGACGACATACTCAGGGGATCCAGGCTTGCGTTGAGCGAGAACTGCACCGAGACCGACACCGCTGGTGTCTGTATGGATTTCAGTTGCAGCCGTGGGATCATAGTGGCGCAATATAGGCGGTGATGTCAGGAGACGGCGAAGAGTGGTAAATGCGTGATCACATTCGGAAGACCATGATGAGATGTCGTTGGCACTGCTTAAAAGTTGGGTCAAAGGGGCAATTATGGAGGCAAAGTTGCGCACAAACCGACGAAAGTAGGAGCACAATCCTACGAAGCTGCGTAACTGTTTTACAGTCGTTGGTTTGGGGAATTCAGCAACAGCGCGTAGTTTAGCCGGGTCGGGAAGAACACCATCCTTTGATACGACGTGACCGAGAATGGTGAGCGTCCGAGCAGCGAAGTGGCATTTCTTTAGATTCAGTTGGAGCTGCGCATTCTTCAGACACGTGAGGACATGTTTCAGGCGTACAAGATGTGTTGCGAAATCGGGTGCAAAGACGACGATATCGTCGAGGTAGCAGAGGCATATGTTCCATTTCAAACCCCGCAGAACCGAGTCCATCATGCGCTCGAATGTGGCCGGCGCATTGCAGAGGCCGAAGGGCATGACATTGAACTCATATAGCCCGTCTGGTGTCACGAATGCTGTTTTTGGACGATCACGATCTGCTAAGGGCACCTGCCAATACCCCGAACGCAAATCTAACGACGAAAAAAACTCGGCACCTTGTAAGCAATCAAGGGCGTCGTCAATCCTGGGCAAAGGGTATACGTCTTTGCGAGTGATCTTATTTAAGCGCCTGTAATCAACGCAGAAGCGAATTGCACCATCCTTCTTCTTAACAAGAACGACAGGTGATGCCCATGGACTTTGGGAAGGTTGGATAACGTCGCGCTTGAGCATATCGTCAACGTGTTCGGTGATAACCTGACGTTCTGTGGCGGAAACACGGTATGGTCGCTGTCGTACTGGCGCGTTGAAACCTTTGTCGATGCAGTGGAAAAAACTGGGAGTTCGGCCAAGGGTAGGTTGAGCAACGTCAAAGGATTCACGAAACTGGTAGAGCAGCTGAAGGAGCTCAGAGCGTTCAGATGGCGATAGTCCGTCGGCAATCGATGAATCGAAAAGCTCGCAAGGTGGTATATTGGAAGGGTTGAGGGCACTTATGGCGTCGTAGTCACCGGAACAATCTGGCGGCATGGTAAAAATTTGTTCTTTATCAATGGCATGCACGTGTCCAAGAGATTCACCTTGAAACAGTTCAACGGGATACGGAAGGGGATTGATGAGGCAAAGAGCACTGTTTCCTTCAGAAATAGAGAGGGTTGAATAAGGCAGAAGAAGTGATCTTCGACTAAGGAAGAGGCTTGATGGCTCAAAAAATGCAGCTTCGTTCCTAATGCCGTCACAGAACACGGGGAGCAACACAGCTGCTGTCGGAGGAATTTCAGTGCCTTCTTTGACGACGAGTTTGTGTACGGCGGGCTGAATGCGGCTGGTTGGTTGGTCGTAAAACGGGAAAAGTTCAAGCTCCGATCTTGCACAATCAATAACGGCATGGTTACGCGATAAAAAATCCCATCCAAGTATGATGTCGTGTGAGCATGACGACAGGACAATAAACTCAACAGTGTAGTGGTCATTCGCGATCATCAGTCGGACAGTACAGGCGGCTACAGGCTGAACCGGGTCCCCATTCGCTGTTTGCAAGGACATCATGTTAAGAGGCGTCGTCACTTTACGGAGCTTGCGGCAAAGTTTAGCGTCTATCACGGAAACGGCAGCACCAGTATCCACTAGAGCATATGCTCGAGTACCTTCTACAAAAACTACGACAATATTCGACGGCAATGTCCGAGGACTTGAGCATTTCGACAGCGCAGTTCTTGCCTCCTGAACTGCGGCGGTTAGTTTCCCTCGTGTTCAGGAGCTGGCCGACGACGCATGGGTGACAGGGAGCGACGACGGGGTGAAGGTGAGCGACCAGACATAGTACGCGGACATTCCCGTGAAGACGAGCTTGACTGAGGGTCAGAATTTTCCAGACGGGATGGAGAAAGGTCCATGAAGCTGTTCTGTGTCCGGGCATCTGTGTATCCCGGCACGCGACGACGGCAGTAACGGGCGATATGGCCAGGGCCGCCGCACGCAAAACAGATGGGCCGGTTATCGGGCGTTCTCCAAGTATTGGCGACGAGGGGACCAGTCCATGCGGCAGACGGGTGTGTCGAGGCTGTGGTGGCAATGGGAGGAACCCAGGCGGTGGACGGCTGAGTCGGGGCTGAGGTATACGGCAGTCCCTGGAACGACGGGGGGTGGTGTCGCTGCTGCCGCTTTAGTGCCTCAGCGTAAGTAAGAGGCGCGGTGACGGTGGGCTGCTGCAAGGGCACCGGCATAGCCTCGGAAATCTGCTCCTGGACCACATGTCGGAGCATGGGAGCCAATGGTGGTGGGTGTCGCAGTGGCTGTTGGTGCGAGAGCTCCTGGCGTTGAGCAAAAGGCAGCAGAGAAAGCTGCCGAGCCACTTCCTCTCGCACGAAGTCTTTCATTTGTGCGAGAAGGTTTGCCTGGTCAGCCATAGCGTCCAGTGCAGTCACTGGTTGGATTGTCTGGAATGAGCGTCGCGTCTGAGCTCGTTGCCTCCGCAATTCATCATAGCTTTGGCACAAAGTCACTACTTCTGCCACAGTGCTTGGAGACTTCGCGAGAAGCATCTGGAAAACGTCATCGTCGACGCCCTTCATAATGTGCTGTATCTTCGCACTCTCGCTCATGGAAGCATCGACGCGCCGGCAGAGATCAATCACATCTTCTATATATGATGTGAAAGTTTCACCTCGCTCCTGTGCCCGTGTGCGCAGACGTTGTTCGGCGCGTAGCTTCCGTAAGGCAGGACGACCAAAAACGGCACGTATTGCCTCCTTGAAGGCGGACCAATTCGCGAACTCGGTTTCGTGGTTCGTATACCATAGCTTGGCCACGTCGGTGAGATAAAAATTGACAGTGCCTAGCTTAGCGTCATCCCACCTGTTGGGTCCACTGACTTTCTCGTATGACGACAGCCAGTCCTCGACGTCCTGGTCTTCGGTGCCGGCAAAGATCGGGGGGTCTCGCTGATGAATGAACCGGCCGGGCAAGTAGTGGCCGCGAGAGGTATTGTTTGTTGGGCAGCGTCAACTTGCATGGTCGACGGCAGGGTGCGAGATCGGAGTTCCAGGTTGTAGGCGATGTGGTTACCCAGCACGATCCACCAAATGTAAAGAGGTTTATTGGGCGAACCAAACGGGCAGGTCGGAGATTGGAGATAGCGACAGGACGAGGAAGATGGAGGAGCTAGAGCGCCGATCTCGTGGTGCCTTACTCTGCGATGATGCTTGCTGTTTCCTTTTGTTATCATCATTCCTTCATTATAATAATAAAAAAGCCACTTCGGCTGCAGTACCACTTGTGCAGTCATTTATCTGTTTAGCTATTTTAAAGATGACAATAAAAAAAAGGGACCATGTTGGGTGGCTGGTGCTTGTGCACCATGGTTGCAATAAGCTTATTTTTTTTTCTGCTGAACTCTGCTTTGAAGCCAATGTCCTGCCCCTGAAGAAGTGACATTGCAGTGATGATTTCAAATTCCTTATCTTGCTCATAATTTTTCTCCCCCCACAATGTTCAACATCAGTAAGAAGAGCAGTGTCAAATTTGATGATTTGAGCTGATAATCTAAAGCCATAGTAAAAAAATCATGTTATTACTTCTATTGCTCATTTCTAGACTAAACAGATGTAGTTACAACTTGAAAGTTAGCACTGTTTGGGTCCATATACTAGCATGTCGCTGCATCCAAATCTTGCTCAGTGACATCCATCAATGTTAGTGTATAGCATTTATTTTTTTTTTTTGCCTTCTGTTCTGACCATGAGCATGCATGTATTATTGTATTTTTGCAGAAATGGTTGAGGCTATGAAGCGGGTGGCGTCCCTGGACGTGGAGCTAACTGTTGAAGAGCGCAACCTCCTGTCAGTGGCGTACAAGAATGTGATCGGTGCGCGCCGTGCCTCCTGGCGCATTATCAGTTCCATCGAACAGAAGGAAGAGAACAAGGGTTCCGAGAGCCGCCTCGACATGATCCGCCAGTACCGGATACAGGTGCGTCATGTTGCTGAACCTCGAATGTGTCTCTTGTTCAGTGGGGTTTTGTGTTTCAAGCAATGATTTGTGGGGATTTTCAGTTGAAAGGACACTAAAGTCAAATGCCAAAGCCTTGCTACTATTTTTCGTGTGCTGGCCCAGCTTATCCACCGCGGACTGTCCACCTAGTGCCACCTCCTGCTCGGCAGCTGTTAAACCTGAATGCGGGCCTGTCTGCGAGACGCGCGTGCCATGATATGCAAAGGATCTGACAGGGCGCGATAGCCCTCCCACATCTATCAGTTTGCATTGCAGATTACAAAGAAAAAGCTACACCCTTAATTCTGCATAAGAAATACAATTTGCCTGCATGTAAGGAAATTTTCTCCATCATTATCATATAGGAATTTCTGCACAAACTTTACGCTGCAATTAGTGAAGTGTCTTTTTTTTTCTTTTTTTCGGTGAAGTCTTCTAAAAGCAAGCATGAGTGCTGCCATTTCTGGAAGGAGAGGAAAAAAGAAAGCAGTAAAAGCTTGTCGGTTCAAAGCTAGAGAATTCTTGGCCAGCATGTACATAACGACATCAAACGTTTGTTAATACAGTCATAATTAGCTGCAAACCGGTTAGTTCGGAGCACGCCGAGCGCAAAGCGCTGCTAATGTGCGATGCAAAAGAGTGAAAACTGTGTTTGCGAACGACCGAAAGAAGGCTGAACTGTTGACATCGCTGTCTTCATCAGAGGGGCCGCGGCTGGCATAAATCTCGCTTGCTGCATTGTGATGGAAGAATAATCACTTGCTGGCTATTTTACCTGTGAGGGAACTATCATCACATGCACATTGTGATGGTACGAAATGAGCGTTTGAGGTATGTTTCAGGCATGTTTCAGTTTAGTTAAAGGCATGTTTGTTTAGTTTAACGCAGGTGTCTGGTGCCATGGCTTCATTGAGAATAAAGTTGCAGGATGACAGAAATTTTGGCTTTTAACTTCGCTTATGCAGAACAACTACAGGATTAATGTATTCAGTAAGGAAAGGAAAGTATGTATGTATATATAAGTGTAGGTAGCTATGGTGATCCAAAATCTTAGCGACCAGGAAACTGCGTGCGCGGTTGCATTAGCTTGCAGAAAAGTTGCTCAAGACACGCTGACAAGCATGGCATCACTACGTCGCACGAAAGCAATGCCACTTTCATACTACTAATGCAGGCCTATAGCTACATTTTCATGAAGTAATATGTTTTAATATGAAAAAGCCAACATTTCAATGGTAACAAAAAAGGTCATCGACCACATACAGCAAGCAATCCACAGTCATGTGGCCAGGTACATTGGGTCGTTCTTGCTTTTGTCATCAGAGGTGCCACAGGTCATTTTTTGCTATTTTCAATGATGAAATAAAAAAAATATAAATTCACCTCTCGAAAAAAAAAAAAAAAAAAACGGGGTTGGTTTGAGTTTGATAGACAATAATTTCATCAGGGGAGTCATCCCACTCCATATTCTCGGCAGTTGTTGGTCCCTTTAGCATGAAATATGTAAAAGAATTGAGGTTATTCAATGAAAACAAAAATATGAAGGAGGCCTTTTAATCGATAGGTTCATTGATTGTGGGCTATACAGGGTAATTATGGCAAATGACCTTCAAACAAGGCCGCCTACAGCTTTGTTGGAAACTGTGCTTTTGTAATATGTGTTATGTGCTAAAGAAAAGATGTTGCGGGTTACAAACAGCTTTTTTATGTTGCAAAAATGAAGCAGTGGTTAGTTGTAGTTTATTCGATCATATAAAATAATGTTCAGTTAGTTCAACGACTTTCAATGAAGAAATAAAGACATAAATCCAACTCTAAAAAGAAGACTGGGTTGGTTTGAGTCACTGCGATGGACATTTTTTTTCCTTCAGCGGAGTCTTTTGATTTCATGTTCTGGGCAGTTGTTGGTTCATTTAAGGGGGCAGACTGGTCTTAGACATTTTTTTTTTATTTCTTCAGTGATCTTGACCAAACTGCACAGGATTATGCAGTTTTTTCCTGCTGATTTCAAATATTTAATTAGTTTTCCTGTAACTAATCTTGTTCCTGAGATAACTTAAGTTCCCACCCTATTGTTTAAAAACCACCATAGAAAAAAAGTGCTTAATTAGAAGCGATATTTAGGATATGCCAACATAGACTAATAACTATAGATTGAAACTATGGAAGAGTTTTCTGTTTTAAGGCCTTTCTTGGTTGTTTTACAGCAAAATGAACTATCCATCTTCAAAAGCAGTTGGAATTGTGTTACAATTTTGATGAGTAATTAATTTAAAGGACTTGCACTCTAAATTCTGCTCCAATACTTGCATTCTACACACATAGGGTTTCCATTGCAAAAAAAAAAAAAATATTGTTGTACCTGCCCTAGCTGCAGAGATATTGAAGCCTCAAAATTGAACAGTTCTAAATTTACTTTTTTTGAGAAAAATAGAAAACACTAAAAGCACACAGCTTCTTCAAAAAGCAACGGTCAAGGTGCGCATGTTTTGAAATCCTCATAAAGGTGCTCATAAATTCGTAGCAGAGCTTCTAACACAAGTGCCGGCCAATCACAAGGAAGCCTCAAGGTCGGTTCCCCATTATTTTGCAGGTTCTGCATGTTAACAGCACCAAGAATCTGGACAGTTATAATGACATTACAAAAAAATTACTACTTCCTGGTGTGTGAAAATTTGCAGAGTGATAGAGAAATACTTGCATATACCAAATATGTCAATTTTAAAAAATGAATTTTTTTGTCACTTTTTCGTCCCAAAGACCAGTCTGCCCCCTTAAGTACTCCCTAAAGTAACATTGGCATTATTAATGCAGAAACCAATTATCAGAACTTTTATGTTGCCTCACAACGATGAACTGCTCAAATTGAGAAAAGTTAGAGAGAGGCTTTTGTAATTATCTGGGATGATAGTTGCATACCTATGTCACAGGTTTCTGGCCGTTTGGTGGTTCTTTGGTTTAGTGAATTCAAGGGCAGCACGCGATTAATGTACATTGTGGTCCTAGATCACGGTTGTACAAAATTGACGATGACAAAGGTATTCTCACTCATTCTACTGGCATTTACCATAACGAGCACTTCTCATACAATCTGGCGTCTCTTCGGAGCACATGCTGATTGCACTGTGATGGCTTGCACCTGACTGAATACAGGAGCCACATCACGTTGCTAAGCTCGGCTACAAACCAAAGTTGCACTGCTCCATTTCGATTTTTTTTTTGTGCCACTGAAATTCACAAGTTTAATCGTTAATTGTCATTTTTTGCTGGAAAAATTTTTTACGTTATGCTAGTATTATTGCGGTGAGGTTAGCAGTTTTTAGATTTAGTACCATTGCTGGTAATAAATGCTTCTGACTCCAAATTTCCCCTGTAAATTTGGTCTGGTTCTGCCATTTTACTGCAGTCGAACCCCTTTATGAGAGAACTGATATAAGAGACAGGTGGATATGAGAGACCAGTATGTATACAATAAAAATACGGGAGATAGGAAAATGCATAAGAGGGGTCCACTGCCTATCGGAGACATCTAGTATAAAAGACAATTGCTGCCCGGAGCATGCCTCATATACAGGGGTTCAACTGTAAGATTGCCTTCTTCAAGGCTTAGTTCTAGTCTCGAAGAAGAATCTGCTTGTCGAAATGTCGGCGCGAGCACACAACACCTGTTTATAAATTTTTGTTGCAAGCTTCCATCTCTCTCTTCCGGCCATTTAATAAATGGTGTAGCTTTTGAGATTAGGCTGGCTTGATTTCTATGTCTATCATGAAAATTTGGAAATTCATAAGGGTGAAATAAGCCTTTTTTTCGGTAGTAAGCTTAGATCAATGATATTTGACAGCAAAAAACAAATTTTATTGTAATTTCTTGACATGTCTCAATGGTTGGCTGAACTTGCTTTGAGCAGTGCCTCGTCGTAGCCTGTATGATCTGTTGTCGCGAAGTTTCTTGGTTCTCTTTTCTTTTTGTCTCTAGGAAATCAGCGTCATTTTTTTCAGTGTTTCTGTGGTGCATTAAAATCCATCTGCTTTGCAATGCAGCTGAAAAGGGTTGCTAGTAATGGATGCATTGTTACTGCCATATCCTTGTAACATTGTGTTTGAACAGTTTTGGCTGAGGTGCATTTTGACTCCCCTTGACTTTCTTATCAAAAGTACACTGATGTAAAACACTAAATCAGTGGAGAATGATAGATTATTGTGGAGGACTGCATAGAAGTTAATTATGTAACTATTTAACCATTAACAATGTGAGTACAGAAAATGAATGCTACAAGTTTCACTTTTGTACAATTTTGCACCATAAATCTGGCACCTGAATGTCGCTGTGACTTCACAGGTTTGTCTTTTGTTTCTGTTTTGGTGGCATTGGCTTTCTAAAACTTTTCTGAAACACATGCAGTATTTTCCTCCTTCAGAACACTATGCAGTTCATTTTTCAAGCACAGTACACAATCCCCCTAGCAAGAAGTGCTGCTGAAAGCAGTGACATCATCAGTCTGTGTGGTGGAAACCTCGAGGGCAGTCCTGCCACCTGTATATTCTGTTTACTCTTTTTCTTGCTTGCCAGACATCTTTTTGCTGCAAGAACAGGGCTTTTGGGTGCTGTGAAAGAGTAGTTTATTAGAAGTAAAATAATTCTTCTCGTCAATGCCCTTATAGCAGTCAAAGCCTGTGCACCTGTAAGTTGGTGCAGCTTCAGAAGGCAGCGGCATTTCCTCCTTAAAAGCGTACGCATATAAGCCTGCACCCGCAGGCACACACTCTAGACTGGTGTCCTGAGCCAAGCAGCTGGTACCGTATTTACTCGATTCTACCGCACCATCGATTGTAACGTGCACTCGGTTTCGACGACGAAAAAAAAAAAGTAAGACATCGATTGCAACGCACACCCATTTTTCTCGTTGGCCCGCACGATCACACCACTTGAAAAAACGACTCCTTTCGGGAGCGTCTTCCATTTAAATATGAGGTACGGG